CTTTCATGCTAGACCTTCTCTTCCAGCATGCATACAAAAAACCACATTTTACAAGGTATATCGTTTGTCAGGGCTTTTGGCTCGCTCAAGCAACAGTGTAGCACTTAGCTTCTCAATTACGTCCTCTTTGGCGATATAGTAAGTGCAATGTATGACATATATACCCGTGAACATGTTAAGGCAAGAATGGGAAGTTAACCAAGTGATCCCACTTACAAGATTGAATCACTAGTGACACAACCCAAACTTTTGATTTGTTTTCATGTTCAACATTGCAAGAGTAGCAAGTTTGTTAAAGGGTTACATATACCACCCATATGTAAGATTTGTCCAATTAATGGTAGTATTTCTCCTAGATTTTACGACTGAAATATTTGTAAATGTTACAATCGTACTAGCGTTGAGATAGCAAGTTTATAATGTGAAGATTGAGTTATTTAAGTATGGAAATTTGCTTGATCCTAACTATATTTGAAATTAGATTAAAGTTTATTTTAAACTGAAATTTAAATAAGGACGATCGAAAAGTGATTACCTCGAGAAGTACATCGATCTCAAGGGTGTCCTCCTTCCAAGGTGGCACCCGAACCTCCTCAAGGCATCATCATGTTTCCTAGACTAAAAAAAAACTCAATGAAATTAAAGTGTTAGGACTTATGATTTCACCATAGTTAATACAGTTCAGTTTCACTTATTAAGCAAGTTTTGAACAAATACAATAATGTAGTTGATCGAATTTCCAATACATATTTGATAGTCTCACTTAAATAAAATCAAATCTACTCCTACATAAGAATTTATGATATCTCTATATGAGTTATAATTTATAGAAGTGCATTAAAAAAATATTCTACAAAAAATCATATGATCGTATATCACTATCTCCTATCTAAATTTATAATTTCCACTATAAGAGCTAATGATAAGTATACCCATGAGTGTCGATACAATTCTCAAAACACTCAACTATTAAGTAGATACTTAAAGCCAAAAAAAAAAAAATGAAAGGGAAAAAAAGGCACGTTTCTTACTAACATGTTTAGTTCATCAACACACGGCTAAATTTGAATATATCGTCGGGTCTTAAATACAAAGAAAGAAAGATGAAGTTGAATGTTGAACTCATAGCTTCAAACTCAAAACTCTGAGTTTGAAGCTATACTTCTTCTTGCTTCCTTGTCTAAGTCGTCTTGCTTCTTCTTCTCTAAACCCTAGCTAGAATTAAATGTATCAAGTCTCTTTTCATCCCTATTTTGCTCAATGCTCCTCCCTCCAAGTTCATGA